GCTGAAGCTGGCCTACATCTTCCCTACAAGATAGGAAGACATGTGGGGACAGGAAAAGATTAAGCTGGAGGGAGGGTGGCTTTGTTACCTGGATGCTGCCCTTGAAAGGAGGGGACCCTAAGTTCTAGTCTGCTTTCAACCAGGCAGAAACTATCCTAAAGCTATTTAGCCTTTTTTATCCAATAAATATTAGATGCATGGCCTACTGGCTTGAGTACTTTAGTAGGAAGCAGGTGACACATGTTCAGACTCCTTTCCCCAGAATCCAGGTCTTCCACTCCCTGAACATGTGCCCTAAGTATTGGATTGAGGGGTAGAAGGACTTCTTCTTCCATTTGACTTATATCAAGTGGATGCACAAGCTGATCCTATTTTTTGAGAGATTTCTATACAATCTCAAGCTATGCATAAGTGCCAAAAATTGCAGTTACATCGCTACTACATGAGCTTCACAATGCACTGCCCTCAAAGGTATTGTCATCAATACTACTGATATAAGAAAAGCCATAAACATGTTTTATTTATAAGAATATTCATAAACTTTTGATTAGCAGTACTATATTTGTCCAGTTCTGAGGCTGACCAGGTTTCTTTGCACCTCATGGAAGTAGTAGTGTGGGTTTGCTTTGAAGTACTATGAAAGCTTTAGCTCAGTTTGCTTTTTGTCTCACAGCTCTCTAGGACTTAGTCTGACTTTGCTGTAGAGTTTTTTTCTGGTGACCCCTTAACCTGCATGGATTAATTGGTTGATGCGGAAAAGATTTACCTCAGTCAGACGAGGAGAGACGCTGGCAGGACATCGCACCAGAAATGGAGCGCAGTGAAAGTGAAACCATGGTGGACAGAAATGCCGCAGTGAAGAAAGAAAAAAAAACAACTGCTGAGTCAGAAGAAGCCAGGACTAGCTTCCACATTGGTGTCGGCACGCTTTATAGCATCATGCCGGGGCTGATTGGCTGCCCGGAACCCTGAAGCTGGGATAAAAAGCCTGGCAGACAATCAGCAGGGAGGACCAGAAGTGAGGTCCCCAACTGGCCTGGAGGGGCCAGATCCTGAACACAGCCCCAGCTCATGGACATGGTGGCTGCCCCAGGAAGGGGTTTGTTTGAATAGTCAGAGCCAGAGACGGCTCCATAACTTACTAGAAGAGACTCCATGGACATTGTATCTCAGCTGGACCAGATGGGGAAAGGACCAATGAACAACTGACCCATGGCAGGTATAAAACTTGAGTCAGGAGAGGGACGCCAAGGGACAGGACAGTCTGGGATCAACAAGACACATAAATAAGGCAAGGAGTGGTAGGGAATAATTGGGTCAAATAACATCCCAGTCCCACCGTCATAAATCCAAAGGGTCAAGATGCCAAAGTGCATGTAATACCAACTCTGGTGGCTCAGGCAACAACATCTTTAGTTGGAGTTAGGTGGGGTGTAGGGGAGATGGAGCCCCGAGCAGGAAGGACTACCGGAACGACTGAAGGAAGATACAAGGAGGGACAGGATAGACCATCTTCCTTCCCAGTAAATTAATTTTCCAGCAAAGACTCCCCTGGGATACTGACCAAGGTCCGATTCATTAGCAAGACTGTTTCTTCCTTAAAGCAACGGCAAAGCCAGAAAACACCACACGGACTCAATGCACAGGTGTAAGGCATGGGAAAGTACAGTTGACATAATATTTATTGGTGAACCTAAGCAGGATAAATAGAACAGAAGGGCCAAATATAATACTCAGTGGCCGTAACTTCACGAATATAACAGTGAAACACCAGACATGTATTTGGCCTGAAAGTCTCTAATGGGTGGGGAATGAATGGAACAAATGTCTGTTATCTCATTATATTGCAAATATAATTTTTCATTTTCCCAGTGATATCTCAGGCAATTTAGGAATTGTTTGTTTCCATTTATTTCCAGAACTTGCTTTGGAATATTGGCCTTCAGGAGCTTTATATTTCAAAGTCAAACAACAACCAACCATTCAAGCATGGTGATGAATGGTGTGATCAAACAAGAGCCTTCAGAGCAGAAAAGTGCAGCAAATGGGAACAAAAAAGGAGACACACAAGGACACTGCTGCCGATGAAGCAAGAAGCAAAACCATACAGATCAGCCTCCAGTCACATCTGTTTGTAGAGAGGAAGAATGGTGAGTTCCTTTTCCAGTGCAACTTAAAAAAAGGAGAACTGCTGGAGCACAGAGCAGTATGTGAGAGCTTACAAATGAGCTAGAACAGAGGCAGGATTGAGGTAATAGGCACTATAATATTTTCATATCATCTGTACATTGAAAGATGTTATTGAACATAAAGCTAAATTCTATCCACTTCTTATTTGATAGGCAAGGGTTTCTTGGGTGATATGAAGCTGGTTGAATAGGTATCACCCTAGGAAATCCTTGACTCTTGCATAATTCTTGGACAACCACCTCTACAACTTCACTCTAATGCTACCATTCATATCTAAGGTATCTAAGTATACTTAGGCACTTAAGTAAGATTTTATTCTACCCTGTTCAAGTCCTGAAAATCCAACACTGCATGTACTTTTGTAGCGCACCGTCATCACTGCAACTGATGAAGCTATCTATCCAACTACACACACACACACACACTGTGGTTAGTCCATAAGGTCTGAATCTACCCTGCCTTCTATTTAGACTGAGCCACTAAAGAAGGAGGAGGACCCACTATCTTGTTTCATTAACTGTTTTGCAGAGATTTGAGCAAGGTGGATTACACTTGTATTTAGGCACAAAAGTCTACTTACATACCTATGAAGTGCCATAGGACAGAATACTGCTTCACTTTGCATCCTAATGAAAACTTTCTAGCTGAGTAAGTGGCATTTTGGCATTTATGCACAGGTTATGATTCTATTTCCCTGTACCATGGAGACATAAATGTGTACACATAGACTAAGCATGAACAGTTGGTTACACACTGGCTGGGAAACTATGCAGCTAAATACATGTGCCCATTCTAGCTGTATAAGTCATAAAGTTATGGCCAACCAAAATCCCATGATTTCTACGGGTGTCTATACATGTGCTCTGGGGTGGAGAGGGGGTGCTTTAATTAGAGTGGCTTTCAGTCACTCTAATTAAAGCGCCTGCAGGATCACGTGCATTCAGTGTCTCGTGCTTCAAAATGGTGGCAGGGGGTGCTTTAAGTAAAGCTCATTCTACAAGCTTTAGTTAAAGCAACCCTGTTGCCATTTTAAAATTGGGGTGGGGGGGCACTGAATACATGTGACACAGAGAGTGCTGGAGTGCACTAATTAGCATGCTCCAGCAAACTCTCAGCAGACTCAGTTAATTAAGTATGCTCTGATGTGTGCTGATTAGCATGCATCAGAGCAGAGCTCTGTCATGTGTGTAGTGCCCTATGATTTCTATGATTAACAGGTGTTAGACAACCAGAAGAGGCTTGAGCCTGTGTTTCTCTGCCTCCCTAGCATAACAGCCCGCCCACCATACCACAGATAAAACATTAGCTCAGGCTTCTCCAGTGCTTTTTTTTAAGCTGGCCTGCTACGCAGCCAAGAGAGGAAGATCTGTGGAGTGAAGAGAAAGCAAACCAGATAGAGTATGTTTTGCTAAGTGGGCATGTCTACACATTCATTAATGTGCCCTAGTTACTGCACATTAAGTTTAGTACTTGGTTAACCAAGGACTAATTCAATGCACATTAACTCATGCTACTGAGCAGTAGCACCAGCACATGTTTTGTTAGTGATACTCACTGTGCAGTAGCCTAATAACACTGTGCAGTAGTACATTCATTTGGTGTGCTGGTCAAAAACCAAGCTAATATGCTACTGCACACTGTTATTAGGCTACCGCATAGTAAGTGTCTTATGTCGACATACCCAATGAGATGACTATTGTTTTGCAAAGGAACAGGCATGGACCTTTGCTCCTAAAGGAATAGGGGTTTCTACACTGTTCTCTATCCATTTTATCCAGTGACTATTACATTCAAGGAGCAGTGGCTCAGGCTCCGAAGGAGTGCTGGAGAGGAGTCTTCATAATGCTTAAACTAGGTGTGGAGGTTAAAAAAAACAAAGTCAGACCGCTGCTCCTTCAAGCCCTCCCTGGCTGTAAGGGCCTAGAACCTGGGTTTCTGGCTTCCTAAGTGAGTCAGCTATTAGGGCTAAAACCATGGAAGGGTCCTCCTTTCCCTGGACTTGTGCTCAGATATGTGCCTGGTCAGTTCATAGCTAACTGACCTTGTTCACAATTATGTGTCCACAACATAGAGACCAAAACAAAAACACTTTGGTATGTGACTAGAAATCTGTCATTTAGAAGCATGAAGGGAAACAGAATTCTGCCAGGAGGGTTTTAAAATAGTGCAAGTAAACAGTAGGATGGAAATTGTTCCTAAATTCAGTGCTTCTTTCTTCAAGTTAAATCCTACCATCAGGCTTGAGGCTGCTGACATATTTGTAGGAATCCAAACATCTGGTCCACTTAAATCCAAAATTTGACATTCATACTGAAGTGTACATAGATTTTGGGGTCCTGATCATGATTATGGAATTTCCTGGGGAGTTAAAATACCAATTCTATCCTTGGAGAGAGATGGGAGGAATTTTATGACTGTAAATACATTATAGATCAATACTACTTTCATTTATACAAATGTAAAATGAGTATAATTCTGTTGACTTCAGCAGAGGTACTTCAGATTAATTCCAATATAACTGAGAGCTGAATTTGGTCTTGGACACTGCAGGAATTGTACAGTGTGCATGCCAATACACTTGTAAATCACAACACACACAAAACACTTGTAATCAAGGGTGTTTTTATTAGAGCATCTCTGAGAGAACTCTAAAATGCTGTCAGTGTCTCGTGTATCAGCATCCCTGAACTTCAAAGTGATGGCAGGTGTGCTTTAACTAAAGTTCATAGAACAAGCTTTAGCTAATGTGCTCCCACTGCCATTTTAAAGCACAGGAATGCTGATACACGAGATGTGAAGGCTGCTGGAGTGCACTAATTAACATGCTCCAGCAGACTCCATGAATCAAGTCTGCTCCAAAGTGTTGTAATTACAGTGCACTGAAGCAACCACCCCACACATATACAGGTACCCCAAAGAACACAGGTCAGATTTTCACTCACTTCACTGACCTTGGCATAAACCAGGTGTAACACCACAAAACTGAATGGAGTTACATCAGTGGAAAACTACTGCAGTGAGAAAAGAATAAGACCCAATCCAAGCAATGACTGCTGGGTTGCACCAGTACAGGCTGGGGATTCACTGGCTGGGACTGCTGGATTGACAGGTCTGCAGAAAAGGACTTGGGGGTTACAGTGAACAGTAAGTTGAATATGAGTCAACAGTGTGTCCTTGTTAAGAAGAAGGCTAACATCATACTGGGCTGCATGAGTAAGAGCGTTGCCAGCAGATCAAGGACAGTGATTCTCCCCCTCCATTCAGCACTGGTGAGGCCACATCTGGAGTACTGTGTCCAGTTTTGGGCCCCCCACTACAAAAAGGATGTGGGTAAATTGGAGAGAGTCCCTCAGAGGGCATTGAAAATGGTTAGAAGCCAGAAGCACATGACTTCTGAAGAGAGACTGAGGGAACAGGGCTTATTTATTCTGGAGAGGAGAATACTGATGGGGGATTTAATAGCAGCCTTCAAGTACCTGAAGAGTGGTTCTATAGAGGATGGAGCTAGACTGTTCTCAGTGGTGGCAGATGACAGAACAAGGAGCAATGTTCTGTAGTTGCAGCAAGGGAAGCTTAGGTTATATATGAGGAAAAAGTCTCTCAGTAGGAAGGTAGTAAAACAATGGACCCAGGGAGGTTATGAAATCTCAATCCTTGGACATTTTTAAGACCCAGGTAGACAGAGTCTTGGCTGGGATGATCTAGATGGGAATGGTCCCACTTTGAGTAGGTGGTTGGACTAGATGATCTCCTGAGGTACCTTCCAACCTCTGACAGGAGCAAGCTTTCACATTGGATGCAAGCAGCAGCCTGCCTCCTGTCTATGGACCAGCCACACACCTCACTTTTCTGCCACACCTTGATGTAATGGTATTGAGGTGTTAACTAGGTGGGAGGCTGCCCATCTTGAACCCTGATATTTAGGGGGTTATCTGCAGCTCCATTCCACCCCTACACTGCAGCCCAAGCCTCGCAGATGGTATCCCAGGCTGCTAAACTCAGCCATTCCCTTCACCCATTAGCTGTGGTCCCCTTTCTGGGACCTTTGGCTCCCCCTTAAGCCCTGGCCCCATCTCAGGCCAGTCAGGACCCTGAGTTTCTTTTCTCTGTGGGCATCCCTCGCGGTGGGCCCCTGGCCCTTCTGACACCTCTCTGGGCCCTGGCACCAGCAGGGGCTAGTCAGTTACTTCAGGTCAGGTCTAAGCTGCATGCCTGTGTACAGAGTTCAGGGTTCCCCAATTCCCAGTGCAGGTGCTTTGCAAAGCATGCCTGGTCCCATGGGATAACTCACCCCAGCAGGCTAAAATGCTTTAAGAAGCTTACCTGGCCTTCCCTGCATTATATAACCTACCTGAAGGTGGGGACTAAGGTTAAGGTGCCCTGACTTGCCTTACGCCTGGGAGGTGCTCACTCCAGGTATTTACATGGGGACTGCTGTGCCACCAATTGCCCCACCAGGCCTTCCTGCCCGGGTAGGGTGCAGTTTTAGGTTATGCTCAGGACCAATGAGGCGTCCAAGCCATCCCCATAGCCTAACCATTACCTTCCAGGTGTTCCTGGCAGAACTCAGCAGAGAAGTGTTTCTACTCTGCTGGCTGATCATGAACTTCCCTCAGCTCAGAGAGCTGGGCCTTAAAATGGCCACCCTCATCAGGCACCTGCCCCTCCCTGGCCCAGTTCTTAAAGTGGCAGTCACTACCAGTGCCCTGCCATACAACCCTACCTTTCTATGATTCTATGATTGTTTTCTATTTCTTCAGGCAGCATAAAACAGTCAGTAATTGCAGAGTACATTAAACAAGAAAAAAATCTTTAATGCTGTATAAAGATTTCAATGTTAAGTTCACAAAAAGTCACAATATGGAAAACCGAACCTCAAATATACTATTCTTTCTTTGCTCCTTTGATTGTCAGCATTATCAAAGAAGGCCCAACAGTTCCCAAACATTATAAATCAGGA